CTAAAGAGGAACCAGGTCCAGAAGCTGTAACAGGTGAGACAAATGTAAAAGATGTCATATGGCATCAATCTTCAGAGAACAAAGAGCTTGAGATAAAATATCAAGCTGGAGTTTCTGAAGATCCCGAAAAAGAAGAATCTGAAGTCGAGATAATTTTAGATCCTCCAAGTAGAAAGACAAGCATTACGCAAGAAAACGATGGGCATGTTAATCCTCAGACAAGCATTAGCACAGAATCTAACGATGCAACTATGAAATCTGAAGATCGATCTGAAAATAGTCAATCGCCCTCAAGCAAAGAATCTCCAACATCACCATTAACAGAGGATCAAGAAAAGGAACGCGCACAACCTACTCAATCATCTAAACGATACTCGACAAGAAGAGTTGCTACTACGCCGGCGACACAGGCAACTGAACAAGAGGTAGCGGGAAGTGACGTTGGTCCTTCTCGAGTTACTAGAGAAATTCCACCATCAGGTTTGTGCTAAATGAAATTACATATCCTTTTTTTTTGTCGACAAGTTGACATTGATCGACATTCAAATTATAATTGAGTCAATAATCATTGTAACGAAATTATATTTGATTGATGGTATATATGATATAAAATGATTATTAACGGTAAATGTATTGTGTGTATGTTGTAATATGTAAATGTCAAATATTAGCGGTTTATGCACCTCCGTTCAGACCCAGATCAATGACTCTCTCAGAAGACAAAGAAGTCAGTGTCGAGGAAGAAAATCTTCAACCTCAACAGCCATTGGACACACCGATTAGATATTATACCCCAAATAGGGTTCCAATGATGCCATCAAGAAGTAATAATTTAATGGAAAACAATTCTGGAATAGCTGTGTCTCCAACTCAATTTGAGAGCAATGGGATGGTTTATTATTATGACCCAAACGTGTATCAACAACCTTATTATTATTATCCCTCAGTTGAAACTAAGGATGGCAATGATAAGGCACCATATATACCACAACCACCACCAAATGCAGTATTAGATAATGGCGTTTATTATTATTACCCTGTTTACTATCAGTAACTGGTTGAAAGTATTGCCCGAGTCGTATGGCTGGCAATTTGTTTAAGTAATATATACTATTGTAAAATAGTTTGTTAGTTTAAACACCAAAAAGGTTTAGATACCTTTATTGTAAACATGATAAATACGATGATCGACTTGATAGGAACTTTTTATATTATTATTATTGTGCAACAAGTTTAAAAAAATTTTCATGTATTCGTAGATTTTTTTTGTATAGTAAAAGCTTTTTAGCGTAAATTCTTATCCATCACTCCTTAATTGGCTTAAAGCTATTTACTAAAACTTTGAGAATGAAATGAAGTATATAGTTATGATGTCAAAGAGTAGTACTTGTAGGAAATTAAAGAAATTAAAAGTTATTAAAATCAAATTTGAACAAAAAAATGTAAAACGTACTTAGTCTTCAAATTTTATTGAATGTGATTGGAAGTCGATTTTACCACCACGATATGAACCACGTTTCTTTTTCGTTTTCTGAGCACGGAAATCTTTACCTCTAGTAGCTACAAAATCGTTGTATGCTTTATGGCCATATGATCCAATAGCTCCACCCTAAAATTGAAATCGAAAAATCAATATATGTATATTTACTTAAAAAATCAATAACTACTAATTATTATTACTTTTGCTAAGAAACTATTATCTTTCAACTTTTCATTATGAAACTTGACTTCATTTACATTTATACGAGGTTGATGAAATCCATTCTTGGGTTTTCCTGACTATTCAATGCCATTATCGATGAGTTAGATATTAAACCATTAAAATATTTATTAAATCAGTAATAATAATTAACCTCCACTGTTTTCATCTTATTCATTTGACTTTTCTGAACTGCAGGCGGGACGAAGAGTCTACTAGTTGGTTTTATAGATGTTGCGCTAATAAACAAATAACATAATAATTATCAATACAGAAATTTAATTAAACTTAATATATTATTAAATACCTTGTAACTGCGTTTATCTTTTTGGTAGGTGGCGGTTGACATCGATTATTATTATTAGGAGAGTCATCCAAACTATTTTTCCTTTTTTTGCTCGTTTGTATGCTACCTGAAGAATTACGTACAGCTTTCTCATCATGCTTTTTGAATTTAGATGATTTCGTGTCACTCGAGCTATTTAAAATTTTTTTCTCATTTTCTTTTGAAGTGGATAATTCAACATCATTCTGATCCATTTTTTTGTCATTGTCGCTTTCCTCGGATGAAGAATGTTCATCATCTCCTTCAGATGACGATTCCGATTCACTCTGATCATCTACATTTGCCATTTTTATATCGTTGCCACTTTCCTCTGACTCAGATGATGATTCTGGCTCACTTTCTTCTGACGATGATGATTCTGGTTCATTCTGTTTATCTAAACGCGTTATTTTTTTATTTATTTTACTACTGTCACTTTCCTCGGATGATGAAGACGATTCACTCTGATCATCTACATTCGCCATTTTTTTATCATTGCCAATTTCCTCTGACTCAGATGATGATTCTGGCTCACTTTCTTCAGATGATGATTCTGGTTCATTCTGTTTATCTAAACGCGTTATTTTTTTATTTATTTTACTACTGTCACTTTCCTCGGA